TTGCTTTCTGATAAATTTAGACGCATTATGCGAAATAAAATGTTTTGCAAACGCTCCAATCACTTATCGACATGTAAACGCACTAAACCGATTTCGCAGCGTTGACACATTGTCACCTTGAAACTTATTTAAACTGGGAACTGACATTTCTATTAATTTTGACACTGAATCAATTTGTGGCATTTCAAATCTTTATAAATCCTTTGGCCCCGCATACTGTAAATCAACAACTGTTTGTTTCAAAACAAAATTATTCATTTTACTAGTAGATAAAGGCAATTTTGGTATATAAAGATGCCCAAACAGTTAAATAGTCGGTGTAAGGAACTCGTGGCCTCGTTAATGCACTACTTTGAGCAAGAAATGGACAACAACGGGCCTTTGTTGCCTTTAAATGCTGTTCAAGAGGTAGGTTACTAATAATTATATGTAATGTATATTAATAATAGTGAAATTTTATTTCATTTTTTGTAGCGTGTTGCTGCTGCTTTAAAAATTAGTTTAAGGACAGTTAGTCGTATTTCCGAGGGTGTGAAAAGTGATGCAAATTTAGAATCGCCCAAGAAAAAGCTAGTTATATTAAACGTGTAACGTGTAACCAACACAGCGACATTGGATACAAGTGCCATTCGAGAGTGATCTATAATATGTATCACAAATGTAAGATCTTATTATAATAACTTATCAGAAATTTGCATTAATTTGTTAACTAAATTATAATGTCATATTACACATGGTTTCAGAAGAACAAGTTACGATACAAACTTTATGGTCTCGATTAAGAGAAAGGGCATTATTTGATGGAAGTGCCACGTCTTTGAGGCGGTTGCTTAGAGATCTTGGATTTAAGTGGCTTAAGGACAATCCGCGACGAGGGCTCATGGAACTACCAAGTATAGCTTTGAAAAGGGTGGAATTTCTAAGGCAATACAATCAAGCCAAGGTTGAGGCCTTATACCAGTTTGTCTTCCTCGATGAAACTTGGATATTTCAAAATGGGACCATAGGTCGCTCTTGGCAAAATGGAAACCAAAAAAGCGTGAAAGCTATTAAAACAGATGGTAAAAGGTATGTACTTTTACACTATTTGCACTATAAAATTTAAAACTAATATATTTTAGATACATTATATTACATGCTGGAAATGAAAATGAGTTTATTGAGGGTAGTGAAGCGATATTTTCTTCGAAAACAAAATTGAGCGATTACCATGGAGAGATGAACCAGGACAATTTTTTGAAATGGTTTCAACATCAGTTATTAGAAAAATTGGAGAGTCCATCTATGATTATACTGGATAACGCCCCTTATCACAGCATGATATTGAACAAAATGCCCAACAGTGCATGGACAAAAAAAAATATCCAAGACTGGTTGACAAATCAAAACATACCATTTTTAAACACAATGTTTAAAACAGAGCTATTGAGTATTGTTGCTCGGTACATAATGCTTCTTAATTATATATATTTTGGTCGACAGTTTATATTTCTTTTGTTTATTCCTATTCTTAAAATAACTGCTTTTTTAGAAACAAACCACCTAAAATATACGTGATTGATGAATTGGCGGAACAACATGGGCACAAAGTTCTTCGTCTGCCTCCTTACCATTGTATATTTAACCCTATTGAGTTAATTTGGGGCATAGCAAAAGGTTACTATAACAGACATATTGGTAGAGATGGTAACAGTGAAAAAGACTGTTTGGATATGTGGAACGAGGCTCTACAAACGGTTACCCCAGACATGTGGAAAAATAGTGTTCGACATACTGAGCAAGAAATTTTTAAATGGTATGAAAGAGAACGAATTTTTGATCGACCAGACATTAATAATCAACTTTGAGAGTGATGAAGATTCAGAAAGAAACTCCGACTAATTTTATTGTACAGAAAAAGCTTACACCAGTAGCTTACCTAATTTTAGAATGCATTTTTCTGTATGAATTCTGTAAAATAAATACCATGCATAAAATTTGGAGGACCCCATTTGGATTTTTATTCAGTACTTTTAAGCTATCAATTAAATATGGTAGTTTCATAGTGTCATCTGATCAATAATTGTCATACTTAATGATTATGCAAGTACAGATCTATAATTTTATTATACTATTATTTTTGTTCTCATTTGAGGTTAATATTGCTTATAAACCTAGATATGTAAATAATAAATTTTATTATTTTACAAAAAGTTTGGCAACAATGTAAATTTTTCAACACACCCAACTTGATGACGTGCACGCCACTTTGTTTGGCGTTGACTATACCTATATTAATTATTTTGTTGTTCCAAGCCACTCCACACGTCGGCACATTTTTAGCGGTAAAGGAAAATGGCAGCTTGACAGCGGTGACGTTGAAGAAAGCTGTATGAAAGACAAGTGACACTATCAATATTGGCAGTGTTGCCGGCCGTTTTTTCACCACGAAAGACGTTGCCAGATTTCCTGTGTTGCACCTTGTAAGGTCTCAGTTGACCCCACGTGATATACACCACAAAACATATACACTGAAGAAGCAAGAAGGTTTAATTCCATGCTATTCAACGGAAACACGGTGACTTATTTGGTTGGCAGCGGCCATTCTTTTGAGGGTGCGACATGGTTGCCAGATTGCACAGCAACACCCCACAGCGTTGCTGACTGCAGATATATCGGAGATTGCCATACTTTTATATATAGTAATTTCAATTTGGTTGGATATGGAAGATCTTATAACAGCAAGGGTTATTAACAATTTGCGCTATCTTGACGAATAAGTGCTTTTTTGTATGTTAAAATAGCAACCTCAACACAAGTTGTTATAAGATCTCTCATATCTACTTACTAATCTGGAAAGGTTCAGAAGAAAAACATATACTGCAAATACCTAAATATATATTTATTATATAAATCTCATACATTTGTCTATGAACAAATCAGTATTAACATTACTATGGTCAAGATGTTTTAATTCCCCAGCCTTTGTTGGCATAAACTAAAAATTAGGAAAAAATTGAATTGTGTTGATATGTTACTATATTTCACAGATTTCTTTTTTTTTATTAGAACAATAATATTATCTATGGGTAACCACAGGAATTTTTCTCAGGGATGCTGATCACCATCAAGAGATAACTTTTTGCGAAATTGCACCTGCCTCCATAATTTTTTGATGAGCAGAGGTAGTAATTTCCTCAGGGTGACAAATCTAAAGAAATTCTCAAAGTTGTACACAAAATCAAGCTGAATATGCAACATTTAAAAACAAAGCGGATTCCCAGGAGAGACCATGGCCCCCCTGACACCGCCCTGTGGGCACCCATGTTATTGTTCAATAACAACATATGGCTTCGATTTCATTGAAATTATAGTGAGCTTTGCATATCTACCTGCTGCTCTGAGAATAGCTGATATAAAATGAAGTATGGAAACTAACTTTGACAAAAAGCGGTACAAATCATCACTGGTTATTGAGTTATATAAAAACTTACAATGCTGGAAATATCCTGGAGAGCTGTGCCTTTTGGTTAGATCACAAGTAATCTCGGAAGTTCTGATAATGAGAATGACCTTCAAATATTACATTCCTCAAATAAGTAACTGCCGCATCTCTGATCTTCCTCAGGGGAACACTTTGGATCACTTTAAAAAAGAAACATTTTGATTTGGAGTTTGTCTTATAGTATTTACAAATATATTACAGCTTTGTGTGGTTACATTTTTATACTTTATAACTCTGAACAAAATGCATATGTCTCAAATAACGTAATAAGGACTTTATTGAATTAAAATGAAATGTTAGGAAAATGTCATGCTGAAAAAAATAAGGATATTTTTGCAAGGCACAGTTAGAAACCCGCCGGAAATTTAAATCTTACCAATCAGACGTGACTTGTGAAAAAGCCCCCATTTTTTGTGGGTGCGGCATGGTGGTCATAATGTGCACACGAACACTGCTTTGTTTCTTTATAATTAGGGATGGGAATTTGTTAGAAAACATCGATGTTTGGACATCGACAAACATCGCCATGATAATATCGATCGAGCTCGATACATCGGAATAAATACATCGATACATCGATGTATCTAAACAACACTTCTTTTTAACGTTTTCCGCTTTCAATTCAGCAACGAATTAATTCATCGATTGCTATCGGTTTTAGCGGAATGGTCAATTTATCCGTTGGTGGAATTCCAACCGCGTTTTTTTTTTCTCGATTTCAGAACCATTAAGTAAGAATAAAAAACGCGACAGCAACTTCACGATAGGATAAAAGAAGGATACCGCCTGCATTATATTTCAGTAAAAAAGTATAATTATAGGAAACTGCAAGATACGAGATTGTCAAAGTTCACACACGCACATTGATGATCATTAAATACTTTACACTGTGCACAAGTTGAAAAGTATTTTTTAAAGTACTTCCACACATCACTTTTTCGTGGCATTTCGATGAATTAACAATAAAACGGTGACACTGCAAACTGCATACAATGAAATAATCAAAAGAACCTGAAATCATTAAATGCGTAAATGCGCTGTTTTCAGTTTATTTTATTATATCCCTTGGGGAAGTACAGAATAAAAAAAGACTACAGTCCATCTCACGTCTGTAATGATAATATTGAGATACTACTAAACAGCTTTCTGGGCTTTCAATTTAGAAGCTACCAGTCCTCGCTTAGAGATGATAGCACATTCAAGGATATACTCAGGGTATACTGATGTTTATGATCCTTTCGGTGTCGATACATCGATATTTCGTCATAAAACCATTAATGCCTAAACATCGATGTTCTACGTCCGTTGTATCGATGTTTTCGATACATCGATGTATTGTTGCCATCCCTACTTATAATTAAACTGCTGGAAATAGTGTAGCGCCCAGCGCCTCTATTCCCCCTCCCCCTCTAACCAGAACATGAATCCTGGAGCCTACGGCACTGTGTACGTTAATGTTCAATAATTTCTAGGTGCTTGTACGATTATTTCTTGCGACGAGTCTGGCAACGCTGGTAGCACGTCCTACTTGACAGCTTCCATAAACGTCACATAAATTATTATATGTCAAAAGTGTCAAAGGTTGAATTAGGCTAGGCGACAAGTTTTTGACTTTTATTTAACTCAGAGATTAATTAAAATCTGATTGCAACACCGTGAAAAATGGTTAGTAGTTTACTCTATTTCCTCATAAAAATGTGATAATTTGTTCATCCGATTTTTCAAATGAAAAGCACAGTTTGTCCTAACAATAAAACGCCCCCAGAATTCAGACTCAAATCAATGTATTGAATTTCAGATTCGGTTCATACTAATACAGAATAGAGCTGGAAAAACACGATTAGCAAAATGGTATATGAATTTCGATGACGACGAAAAGCAAAAACTTATTGAAGAAGTACATGCTGTCGTAACAGTCAGAGATGCAAAGCACACGAATTTTGTGGAGGTAAATCAATTCTGTAAACAATTTCACACAATTTGTATATATTGAGGTGCAAATTTATCATTGAGTAAGGCCAAGAATCCATTGGTGATCTATATTTAACCACCTTGCTTATTGTTTAATTTAAAACTCTATCTCATTTTCATTATTTACAATCCCAACCTAGTGTTGGTATGCTAGTCAATTACCAAAGATTTGTACACTGCTATTTTTAAATTCAGATTGTCTTTCTTTTATCGTGTTGAATTTTATGAGATGTTGATCATTCTGTCTCAAGCTCCAATCATCATGTATGCTAACGAACATGTAAACTAAATTCCTATAGCCATCACAATTGTAGATTAGTGTGTGGGCACATCACATATATTTCAAAATTAGTATTCTCATTGATCAAAATTCAGTGACTATTCAGTAGATTCTCAATTTCAAGGCAATCCTTGAAAGCACTTATAGTATCAATAAAATGGAACATAAGAGATGTGAGGGATGTGGAAACAATTGATAATACAATGAAAAGCCAATTTTTCAATATTACCTTTGAAACATAGAAAAACAAATTGCTGAATAGTTTTGTTCTGTAGGAAGACAATGCAACAGCAGTCAAATCTTATATGGATGTCCCCAACTTCTTGACAGACATATTTAGAACCTGCACATTTTGTCATATTAGCTAATTTCCCTGAACTAATTGTAAAGTTTGGTTTTATTGAGGCAAGTTGTGCAAGGGGGTATTTAAAACATGGATGTGTAAAATGAGTACACCAATTTTTGTGTGAAAACTCAACATAAAGAATGAGAACTCATGTTATTTGGGATTCAATCAAAGGTGTTGCTAGGTAAAAAAAAACTCTTCAAATAAGATTTTTAGGTATTTACAAGACCTACAAAATGACACTACACATAAAAGGATCCGACCAATAGCAAAAAAGTTTTTGACGAAAACATTCTAATGTCTAAAATTAAATTTGGTGAAATAACCTCTTGTTCACATTATGTATACTTTTATTCTGATCAAAAATCTTTTTGCTCACCATAGATAATGTAATCTTGCAAACAGAAAACCAGTGGTATACATCTGATTGTTTATAATTTTTTTTTGTACTTTGATAAAATTTCAGTAACACTATCTTGAATCAAGATAATTTTTGAAAACATACATATATCTTAGATTTAGAAATTATTAATCAACAATAATGAAAGACATTTGAAATTTTGTTTGTGATAATATGCTCAAGTTTTCGATACACAATCAAAGTAGGTACCTATGCTAGATACTAACCAGGCTAAGACGCTTTGAAACATAATCGAAGGTACAAATGGATTAAAGTGTCATGTCACAAAATCATTTAACCTCTTAACGGCTCATGTTCCTAAACTGGAACACTGATTTCAAAAATTCAAAATGAAAAAATCTTAGTCAAAATGATTCAACTTTCACCAACAGTCCACTGTTCCTTATGTGTACCAATGAATATTGTGTAATAAAGGTGACGTCTTACGCCATCTATGAATCCAACGCCGAGATATTGGCAGAATGTCATCATTTGTTGTTGTTGGTTAGGTGCATCGTTTTCTGAAAGGCTTTTCTTGTGTTTTTGATTATTTTATAACGTAAAATAAATACAGGTGAGTCAGTAGATTATTGTAGTATAGTTTTAAAATAAATTGAATACAAAAACTCTTATTAGAAGAGCCGATAACGTAAATATTTTCATAGTTCCGGATTAGGAACAATGGACATTTAGTATATAAATATGGAACACTGGACAAGTTAGTCCTTCACAGTGCTTTATTATTTTGTTTCAGTAAACTATGGCGTCTTTACCAAGCGATAGTGAAGATGAGAATCTGAGCGATTCTGACGATGAATATGTGCCGTCCAAGCCAGGCTCAGATAACTCTACAAGTAGTGACAGTGAAGACGATTCAGAAGATGACCAACCACTGAGCAATTTTTTTGCAAAGGGGACACCAAAATATCAGTGGAATAAAGTTAGGGAAGGCAAAGTGAGTGTTTCTTTGGCGCCATTTACGTCACAAAACCTAGACGACGAGCCTGAAATAGGAAGACCCATACATTATTTCCAGTTATTTTTCTCAGATGAGCTATTAGATCAAATTGTAGAACAAAGTAATTTATACGCTTGCCAACTTGACCCGAATAGACCGCTCAACCTTGCTCGATCTGAATTTGAAGTCTTCTTAGGAACTGTTGTTTATATGTCGATTTTTGGTTTACCGAGACATAGACTTTACTGGAGTTCTGCCACCAGAGTTTCACAGGTGGCCGACTCCATGTCCAGAAAGCGGTGGGAACAAATAAAGAAAAACCTTCATTTCAATAATAATGAGAATCTACCAAAAGATCGAAATGATGTCAATAGAGACAAGCTGTTCAAACTTAGACCCTTCCTGGATAATTTACAGCAAAAATTCGCAAATCAAGTAAAACCTGAAAAACTCTGCGTGGATGAACAAATAGTTCCATTCAAAGGACGCTCTTCCCTAAAGCAATATAATCCCAAAAAACCCAATAAATGGGGGTATAAAATTTTTATTGCATGCGACAAAGATGGCCTTATCCACAATTTTGAGGTTTACACCGGAAAAATACTACCAGTACCTGGGAAAGACGACATAGGGGCAAGTGGAAACATAGTCCTACGACTAGCAGCAGTTATTCCCAAGCACAAAAATCATTTTTTGTTTTTTGATAATTGGTTTACTTCTCTGAAGCTTCTAACTACACTATACAAAGATGGAATCTACAGTTTGGGAACTGTAAGGAAAGATAGAATTCATGGCCTTACGTTTTCAAGCGATAATATTATGAAAAAAAAAGGACGAGGCACGTACGAGGAGTATGAAGCTACCATAGAAGATGTAAAACTATTTGCGCTGAAATGGTTTGATAATAAAAGTGTCTGTCTGGCGAGCACTTTTTACAGATCACATCCCATTGACACAGTTGAACGTTTTGTCAGAAAAGAAAAAACAAAAATAAATATCCAACGTCCAAATATGGTAAAAGAATATAATCTTTTTATGGGTGGAGTAGATTTGCTAGATGGGCTTATATCCTATTATAGGATAACACTAAGAAGTAGAAAATGGTACTTGAAAATATTTTTTCACTTCATTGACTTGGTTATAGTTACTGCATGGATTCGCTACAAAGCTGATATGCAGATAGCAGGGTTGGAGAAAAAAGATATATTAGATTCCCTTGGTTTTCGCGCTGAAGTTTGCTGAGGGATTATGCCTTTTGGGGAAGAGTGAAAATACACGAAAACGAGGAAGACCAAGTAGAAGTATTGAAAGAAATTTTGAAGAAAAAAAGAAAAGGAGCCAAACAAAGCCCATACCGCAGTTTGACGTGCGAACTGACCAAATAGGTCACTTTCCTTGTGAAAAAGAACAAAGGCAGAGATGCAAAAAGCCAGGTTGCGGACTGAAAACATTTTTTTCCTGCATTAAATGTAATGTATACTTATGTATAAATAAGAAAAGGAACTGTTTTGGTGAATTTCATATTTAAGATGATTGACCTTTGTTCCAAAACCGGAACGTTGGCTTATTTTTTTTGCTAAAGAAAAAATAAAGTATTTTTCCAATAAAATGTGTTTTTTATACCTATTCGAATATCTTTTTTGAAGAAAATCTTTTTTTCTCAAGCGTTATTTAAATGTGGACCTTAAGAGGTTAATGGAGAAAATTGACATGAAACATTTTTTATTAGGACCTTTTGATTTATTTTCATTTTAAATATTTAGTTTAATTAGTTTGTTACTTTGTTTTTGCAACAAAGTAATCAGAGAATCAAAGAACGACTCCTTAAGATTAGTTTAATGCAAAAAAAGCAATTTTAAAAAATATCACATTACATCTTTATCCACTTGTCTTCAGTTTGTGTGTTAACTTTATAAACAATTGAGCACATTTTAGTATGAAATATTTTTTTTGTAAACTTTGAAACTCATCTGTGACAGTGTAAAAATTTCACACAGCCGCTTTGTTTTAAAAATCTGTATTATAACATGTTTTTCAAATATCGTAGTGAATTACTTACAAATACGAAATGTTTGAAATTGTTTAAAAGAATAAAACGTAACCCTTCGTTTTGTCCATAAAAATAACATTTATTTTTCAGAATGGTTTGTGATTAATATTGGCAAGGTAAAGTCGTGTATTTTGCTATAAAGTGCCCTTTGAACAAGTAGTGATGTCCGGAAGAGAGGTGTTTTTGGATAAACAATTAGAAATTGTCAAAAACTACTTGACCAATCGACTCCAATTTTGTTGTGGTTATTCAAAAGTATAAAGCCTACGGATGTGAGGAATTTCGAGTATCTGCTTGACACCATAGTCACATTACCAACAAGTGCCAAAACCTGCATTTTGCCTAGGTTTTTAGCCATAACTGTTTTGCTGTTAGTCGGATCCTGTTACGTGTGGTCTCATTTTGTAGGTCTTGAAGATATCAAAAAATCTTATTTAAGGAGTTTTTTCGTTCCTGTCAGCGCTTTCAGTTGAATCCCAAAAAACACGTTTTCTCATTAATTGTGGTCAAATAAAAAGTTTTCCCACAAATTGGTGTACCAATTTTGGGTGGGCCAATGAAAAGGTCGCAGCCCTATTTGTGACTCTTCTGGATATTTTGGGGAAAACGCTCAGACACGTCAATTTTGATTTCTATTTCGACTGCTTTTCATCTAAACCGTACAAAACAGGGTGATCCAAAAGTAAGATATTGCGTTACACTTTAGATTTTTAAATGGAAACCCCCATTTATTTATAATTATTAGATTTTCCATGAAGTTTTCAGTAACTTTTGTACAATAAAGCTTATACATATGTATCTTTAATCATTGTGAGGCTATTTGAATTTATAATAAAATTCGACTAACTTAATACTGATAATAATGGAATGCACGGAAAAAATAATTATGGATATCAGCAAGAACATTTAGCATCAGTCATTGTCATCTTATGTCATAGAAAAA